AACGCTTGGCTGGGGTAGATGATCGATTTGTTTTGTTGTCTGTCTTCTGTTGTGGTACCAGGTGTCCTCTGCAGGTTCTAATGTACTGCCATATCCTCCATGTGCATCTGGATATGCTGTCCACTGCTCCATCTGAGCCTCTGAGCAGGCTCATCTCTGACATGCATACTACAGTCACACCATGGAAGCTGCAGTTCTCTTCATGGTTTAAACTCTGAGTCCATCAGTTCAGTTTTCGAGTATTCCCAAAGAAACCTCATCTGAAAAAAAAAAAAAAGAAAAAGAAAGAAAAGAAAAGAAACCTCATCTGAGGTGTTCCCAGACTTGATTCTTGTGTATGCTTGCCAGTACAGGGTCCGGCACAGTCCGTCACCCAACTCAGACTATGCACACAGTGGTGGTTGCAATTGCTGGGTCGGTTCTGCTTCTGCTTCTGTCTTCTACAAGAACCAACTGGTATTACGGTCCAGCCTGATCCTGCCCACCACACACTTGGCCTTCACGCAAAACAATGACAGCTGCAGCCTAGTTGGAGCAATACCCAAGAGCTCCCACTAGGACTGCCTCCCTGCCCTGGTTCTCATGCTTGCCAATATGTATGGCCAACTGCTCCAGTCTGTCCCACATCCCTTTAGCTCTCCTGTATGTCAATGGGCACTGAAGCCTAGTTCAACCCAACCAGCCCCACTATTCATTCCACGCTGCTCCCAATGGGTGCCACTCTATCTAGTCATGCCTTCCCCCGTCCTGGTTCTCATACTTACCAGTGGAAGTGGCAACCCAAGAGGGAGGTGCCCACTATTTCCCTCCTGGATCTACTCCCACTCCTGGATCTTGCACTCTTCAAGTCATTCTGCAGTTTAGCTTAACAGAATTTATCCTCAGTGCCAACATCTGCCAGCTGATGCTGTGGCAAAGCCCAACCAACCCACACCCACTCTGGCTTATGCATGCACTAGTAGGTACATTCAACCCAGCCTGGCTTTTCCCTGATCCAGCTCACATGCAGGCCAACAGGTGTTGTAGTGCTACCCGAGCTGGTCTGCCCTCGATCCCAGCTCTTACACTCACCAGTGGCAACAGTGGCCTATCTGGGAAGCCCTCCGCAGCCCCCCTACAGATTTGCCCCCCTCCTTCCTGAGTCTCATGTGTGCTAGGTAAGACTGGTCTTGCCCAGTCTGGCATGGCCTGCCTCACCTTGGTGTTTATCAGTGGGTGTTGTAGCCTGGCACAGCTTGGCTCACCCCTCCCACTTCCAGCTCATGCTGGTGGTGGCTACAGCTTAGCCCAACCCAGACCAACCAGCCCCGAGTCCTGACCTTCATGTTAACTGGCTTGAGCTGCAGCCTGCCCCAGTATGACCCATGCACCCTTCTGGTTCTCAGTTTTGCCAGTGGGTGATATGAACTAGCCTAACCTGGCTCATCCCACACCTTAGTCAAATATATGCTGGTGGGTACTGTTACCTGGCCTGGTCTGGGATGCTACCTGTCTTGATTCTTTCACTCACCTGCAGGGACAGAGGAGTTCCCCAAGCTTCTCCATGAGAACTTCTCCCATTGCAAAATCTTGCACATTGGTCCATGGCCCTACTTAGTCCACCTCCCCTGCTAGCAGGAACAGTGCCTTTCCTGACCAGCCCTCACCGATTCTAATTCTTCTTCTTCTTTTTTTTTTTTTTCCCTTAATTTCAAAGTCAGATATTTATAGAGAGGAAGAGAGACAGAGAGGAAGATCTTCGGTCAGTTGAGTCACTCAATGGCCAAAATTGTGCCCATTCGAAGCCAGGAGCCAGGAACTTTTCTGGGTCTCCCATGTGGGTGCAGGGTCCCAAGGCTTTGGGCTGTCCTTGACTGCTTTCCCAGGCCACAAGAAGGGAACTGGATGGAAAGTGGGGCTGCCAGGATTAGAATCGGCATCCATGTGGGATCCTGGCGCATTCAAGGTGAGGACTTTAGCCACTAGGCCACCATGCCGGGCTGTCCAGTTCTTACTGTTGGGTACTATAGCCAGCCAAGCGTGGTATACACCCAGGCACAGCTTACACCTGGTTCAGCAGGAACAGAGACCTAGCCCAGTTCGTTCTATACCCATCCTGGTTCTCACAAGGTCCAGTGGGTGCTGGAGTCTAGCCCAGTCTTACATATCCTAGACCCAGTCCATACCCATGCTGGGGAAGACTGCAGCCATGACCAGTATGGATCATAGCCCCTGCTCTGGTCCTTGTGCTCACCAGTAGAAACCACAGCTCAGCCAGGGCATTCCCTTAGCTGCTCAACCAGGCCTTTTCCCAGTCACAGATCTCAGGTGTACCAGTGGTTTCTTTGACCCAGTTTCGCATTATCCCTTTCCTGTCTTGGCCTTTGCCTATGGATGGTGTAGTCTGTCCTGGCTGGCCCCCACTTCCAACTCTCGCTAGTGGGTGCTGCAACCTGGCCCTGCTCAACACACAGACCTGCCCAACAACCTGGCCCTGCCCAACACACAGACCTGGACCATGTACCGTTGGGAGCTATGACCAACTGAGGGAGTTTCCCAAGTTCCCCCACTTGGCTCACTCCTAGACCCAGATCTCATACAAACCAGTGGGTGCCAGGCCCTTACCTTGCATAGTCCCCTCCATCCTGGCCTTTTTATGAGCTGGTAGATACTACAGTCCGGCCCACTCCATACCTTGTTTTAGGGTACGCATGTCGGTGCTGTAGCCTGGGCCTGCCCAGCTGTTCCCAGCCCCAGTTACCCTGAGTTTTATTGGATTCTATGGTCACGCCTAGCTTAGCCCATTACCACCCCAACTGTTTTTTTCTAAGTTTTTTTTAATTGGAAAGGCGGATATACAGAGAGGAGAGACAAAGAGGAAGATCTTCCATCTGTTGATTCACTCCCCAAGTGAGCACAACGGCTGATGCTATGCCGATCTGAAGCCAGGAGCCTCTTCCGGGTCTCCCACGTGGGTGCAGGGTCCCAAAGCCCTGGGCCATCCTCGACTGCTTTCCCAGGCCACAAGCAGGTAGCTGGATGGGAAGTGGGGTTGCCAGGGTTAGAACCGGTGCCCATATGGGATCCTGGGCGTGCAAGGCGAGAACCTTAACCACTGCGCCACCGTGCTGGGCCCACCACCCCAACTTCTAAGCTAGCCAGCAGGAAATGTATTTCCCCAGGGTTAGGCCCACATATGCCTCACAGAATCTTCCCCCAGAGTGGTTCTTTTGCATGCTGGTTAGTGTTATGGGCCAGCTTAATGTGACCCATCCATTGTTCCAACGCTCACTGTCAGTTATTGGGATCTAGCCCTGCCAGACATGCCCCTATCCTTACCTTTCATGTGGTTTGGTGTGTGGTGGTCAGCAATGGTCTGTGCTAACAAGCCCAGGTCAGAGCTCTCATGTGGGTTGGTGCATTGGTCTGGCCCATAAGGATCTTCCAGTCTCTCTTCTCCAAACCATCAGGTCTCCGTCCTCTCGCTTACCTGCAAGTACAGTGGCCTTGTTGTTGGGAGTTCCTCTGGAGTCATTCCTCTCCTACTCGTATGGTGGCCTTATCAAGGATGTCCCTGAACAGTAATTTCTCAACTGACATGAATCCACAGGTCATCACACACCCTCACCTGTGTGATCTCTCAGTCTCCCTGCAAATCTACACCCCCAGGTTTCCAGAGTGCACTGCCAGGCGGCCTGAAGATTTTGCCCGGTGCCATTGGCATCCCAGGCTGCCCAAGTGGCTGTCTGACCTGGGTAGGGGGAGGACTCCCCCTCTCCCTACACTCAGTGGCAGCCGGGGGACACCCAAGAAGTTGCCTGACTCAGGTGGGGAAAGATTCCCCCTCCTCTAACCCTCCATGGCGGCCAGGGGCTGCCTGAGCAGCTGCACCCTATTTTATCATTCTTAAAAGCTCATTGGGCCTGGCACATTGGCTATGAAAGTTCTATATATCTATCTTCTGTATGATAGTTGTATGTTAGTGTTGAACAGTTTATGGGGTTAGTACAGTTGAAGAGCTAAATTTTAAGTTAGTTGGTTATTTGGAAGAGAGAGAGAGAGAGAGAGACATCTCTCATCAGTTGGCTCACTCCCCTAGTTCCCACAACAGCTGAGGCTGTGCCATACTGGAGCAGAATTTGGGAAGTTAGTCCAAGTTTTCTATATCAGTGACATAGACATAGCCACTAAAGTCATCTCCCACACATTACCAGTGCACATTAGCAAGAAACTGGAATGAAGAGTTCAGCCAGAGCTCAAACCTAGACATTGTATTATGGAATGCTGCATCCCAAGTGGTGGGTTAACTACTGAGGAACTGAAATTTTAATTTAATGTATAGTGTAAATAAAATTTAATGATCAAATTAACTTTTTAAATTGTGATTACCTTTTAGAATGTTAAATCTAAAGATGTAGTCTTTGTGTTTTCTATCACCTGTTACCTAATTCTTGCCCACTGGTACATCTATTTTCCTTGGAATGTATCAAGGGTACTTAATGGACTCTACTCTTACTCTCTGTCTGTCTGTCTGTCTGTCTCTGTCTCTCTAAGATTTTATTTATTTAAAAGACAGAGTTACAAAGAGAATGAAAGAGAGAGAGGTATCTTTCATCTGCTGGTTTATTCCTTAAATGACTATAACAGCTGGGGCTAGGCTAGGCAGAAGCAAGGAACCTGGAACTCTGTTTCTCCAGTGTGATTGTAGGGGCCCAGGCACTTGACTCATCCTCTGCTGCTTGTCCACATAAATTAACAGGCCTCTGGAGTGGACATATAGTTGGGACTTGAACTGGCATCTATATGGTATGCCAGTATCACAGGCAGTGGCTTGACTTCTTTACTCCTCAATACCAGCACTTCCAATCGACTCTAGTTGGAAGGATCATAGTCCCTTTCTCTGTTTATATGGGTAATTGGTAACACAAGTTTGTCTCTTTGTGTATAGCTGATTGTAGCACAGCCATTCCCTGCACTGTAACGTTTGGGCTTACTTTGGTCCTTTTCTTCATGTGTTACAGACGCTGCATACAGGTAGTACATAAACTGCTTTGCTACCAGAAGAAGTGTCGAGTACGCCTGCATTACACCTGGCGAGAACTCTGGTCAGGTAACTTATTCTCATGAATCCTTCTTTTTATACCTTTGATGAACCCCTAGGCCTGAGATCAGGCTAGATTCTTTTTTAACCTGGTAGTGTGTTTAGGATGCTTCTATTATAGTTTATATTTTTGTGTGATTTTTTTTTAGCCTTTTTGTAATCCATAGCTGGGCATGTCCCCTTGTCTGATCCATACTTTCTCTTCTATTCCTTCTCCCTGTGCTTTTTTTTTTCTGGACTCCCCACGTTTTTGTTAGCTAGTGAAAATCATGGGCTGTTTCTTGTGTCCTGTTTGTGCTTTCTTGTGTAGCAATGAGCTAGGAGGAGTGGGCATAGACTTAGTTGGGTTCTGCTTGGTAGCTGTGTAAGTGCTATCAGGGAGCTTCTGGGATTCCTCAGGACAAGTCATCTCAGGAGGACTGTGGCATGGAAAAGAGAGGGTGGGCAAGGGGGTGGAGAGGTGGGTCTGGCCTGTTCTTTGTGTTACATCTGGCAGCCTTACTGTTTACAGACAGTGTCATCTGGACCACTCCTCCTTGTGCCAGAAACAAAATAGCAAATTACAGTGTTTACCTCTGTGCTCCAATCCATTCAACAGTTCGAGAAAGTCACTGCTGCCCTGCAGGCGGGAAGTGGCTCTTTCACCCAGGGTATAATTAATGCTGGCTTGCCACCCCTTTCTTTTGTGTGACTGAATTGGAGGTTTCAGAAAAGCAGAAGACAGGTTCCCCAAGACACGGGTGCTTGCTCATAGGTCCCAGTGGCTTTTGTGACCTGACAGTACAATAAAATCTTCTCTCAATGATGCTGGTGATAAATGGCTGGCCCGCCCTAGGCGGGAGCTTCTTTCTCTGTTCTCAGTGACAGAGGCCAGCTAAAAACAGGTCCGCAACCAACCCCCTTCCCAAGAAATCCATTTTGCTTGTTGTGACACATGGTTTCCTCCCAGCTCAATTTAGTTTTCTAAATTTAGTCCTCCATAATGGAAAGTAGAGATCTTTAATTACTGGATTAGCAAGTTCTTTGTGGATGCTGCCTCTGGTGGTGAAGAAGTGGGGAAATAACAATAAATGGCAATAGTGGCACTTTGGGATGTTAGGAGAGTGTGTGAGTGTGGGATCAAGGGGAAGTTAGAAGAGATAAAGAGAAACAAAAAATTGAAACCACAGAAGTTAATGAATTTCTCAGGTATCAACATTTCCTGTTAGTATTCTAATCCTTACCCCATTGTTGCCTGTCAATAGTTTTATGAGTGTGGGGCTCTAAAAGTGTGGGAATCAAAAGAAGACACTGGGGACCAGCACCTTAGCCTAAAGGCTGGAGTCCTCGCCTTGAACGTGTGGGATCCCGTTTGGGTGCTGGTTCTAGTCCTGGCAGCCCCACTTCCCGTCCAGCTCCTTGCTTGTGGCCTGGGAAAGCAGTCGAGGATGGCCCATAGCCTTGGGTCCCTGCACCTGTGTGGGAGACCTGGAGGAGGTTCCTGGCACCTGATTTCAGATTGGCGCAGCACCGGTTGTTGCGCTCACTTCGGGAGTGAATCAACAGATGGAAGATCTTCCTCTGTCTGTCCTCCTTTCTATATATATTTGACTTTGCAATTAAAAAAAAAAAAGAAGACACTGATGTTGTGGCATAGAAGTTAATGCTGCTGCCTGTAAAACTGGCGTCCCATATGGGTGTTACTGATTCCTATCCCAGCTTCTCCACTTCTGCTCCAGCTCCCTGCAAATGCACCTGGAAAGCAATGGAAGTTGGCCTGCTGGGCCTTTGCCATCTATATGGGAGACCCAGGGAAGCTGCTAGCCTGGCCTTTAGCCTGGCCTAAGTCTCACTGTTGTGGCCATCTAGGGAATGAACCACTGGATGGAAAAGTTCTTTGTCTTTCCCTCTCTCTCTTTCAATATTTTTAAAAAAAAGTTAATTGGGGGACAGCAGATGGCAGTGCCTTACAGCGTTTAGCAGCAGCTAATCCTCCACCTTGCAGTACCAGTGTCCCATGTGGGTGCTGGTTGTAGTTCCATCTGCTCCACTTCCATTCCAACTCCTGCTTATGTCCTGGGAAAGCAGTGGAGAATGGCTCAGGTCCAAGGGTGCCTCTATCCATGTGGGAGGATACAGGGGAAGCTTCTAGCACCTGGCTTCACATCAGTTCAGCTCAGTTCTGGTTGTGAACCAGTGGGAGGAAGATCTCACTGTCCTTTCTTTATCTTTCTTTCATTTTTTAAAAAGATTTATTTTTATTTTTATTTATTTATTTATTTATTTTTACTGGAAAGATTTACAGAGAGAAGTCTTCCATCCGATGGTTCACTCTCCAAGTAGCTGCAATGGCCAGAGCTGAGCCCATCCAAGGCCAGGAGTATGGAGTCTCTTCCTGGTCTCCCATGAGGGTGCAGGGTCCCAAGGCTTGGTCCTGTCGTCAACTTCTTTCCCAGGCCACAAGCGGGGACCTGGATGGGAAGTGGGGCCACCAGGATTAGAACTGGCCCCCATATGGGATACCAGCGCGTGCAAGGCATGGACTTTAGCCACTAGGTCACCGTGCTGGGCCCTAGATTTATCTTTCAAATAAAAATAAATCTTTTGAAAATATTTTTTAAATATACAAAAATGATAGAAATTTGTGAATGTTGATACACAAGAAAGATTTACAGTAAGTGCAGATAATTTATGGTTATGATTAGATCTATAATTGTGATGGAGTTAGAGTTATGGAGAAATTGAGAGAAAGAGATAATCTTATTTCTGCTGGCTCAATCCTAAATTGCTGTAGCAGCTAGGAGCCAGTGATGTCATCTGGGTCTCCCATATGGGTGTAAGGGCCCAGGTACTTGAGCCATCTGCTGATGGTTTCACAAGTACATTAGTGGGATCTGAATTGAATGTGGAGCAGCTGAAATTCAAATCAATCCCTTATGGGATGCCATTGTCTCAGGAAGTGGATTTACCTGCTATTGCCATAACCTCAGTCCCTAGATGCTATACTTCTAAGCAGCTTGCATAGTAGTCTTTTCTGTCTGTTTTTGTTTGTTTTTCTTACTTTCTTTTCTTTCTGTCTTGGACATCCTGTCTGTGGTCACTGTGATCTTTGACTTCTCCCACATTCATTGTTTGTGTCCTCTTCATCATTGCCCTGACCCATTGCCTTTTCCATATTGCCTGCTACATTCCCTGTCTACCTAAGGCCCTGAGGCTTCCCATTACTCCTCTCTATCCATGTTGTGCCTCCATCCTCAGAATGAATTCTCTTACCATGTGAACCCTCTCCTTGTGCTGTTGAACATTTTGCTTTCAGTTTTATATGCTGAAAAATTTATATCCCAAAACCCCGAATTCATTGACAACATCTTTGCTTAAATAAAGCATTTTTTAAGAAGTTAAAAATGTCATCTTTTTATCTTTTCTGATTTACAACATTTTGCCGTTCAGGCTAGGAAGTTATAAAGGAGACCATTCTTTATCCTGTGTTGACTCTTTATCTTTGAAAACTTGCTGTCTGTTCAGCTTGGTGTGACTGTATGCTATCTTAAGCATTCCAAAGCCCTTGATGGGTTGAAGGTGGGTCTAAAAGAGTTTCATTGGTGAAGCATGGAAGACTTCTTGTTTCTGCGGCATAAACATATGCTGTTCTCTGCCAAATGAGTCTAGATCTTTCTCCTGTGTAGACTGGGTAAGCCCTGCTGGAACTTCGGCTCCTTGTGTTTTTATGAACAGCAAGATGCACAGCAGCAGGTGTTAAGGAAGCTGCAAAATACAATGCTACATCTATTGTAGTCAGAGCCCATAGTAACATCTACTGTTGCATTCAGTGGATACAAGTGTGACTATGGTGCATCCACCTACAAATAGGCTGGCACTAGTCACATGTTGGAATGTCCTTGTTTTCACTTTTTTTGAGGGAGGTATATGAAAATCATCATGGCAAATATGTTTATGTGAATTATACTTACTCATACACGTACTGTAGAATTTTGCTTACAATAAAACTTGTAAGTCATGTATTATTGGAAGGATAGAAGCCTCTGGGTTTCTAGGACGCAGCTGGGTAGGATCCAAATGTCTTCTCGTATGGCATGTGGATATTTAGTATTGCTTGGCTTTAGTGTGATTTTCTATTTCTATACCATTTGGCTTACAATAGCTCCTCATTACTGGAGAGATAGTTGACCAGAGGTCACCAGACTCCCATTAGGAATTGCTAGGTGTGGACTTACAGACAAGGAGGAGCCAGCCATGTTAGGTAAAAGTTCAGGCCAACCTGTTAGGCTTTTCCTACAGTTGGCTTCACAGATAGAAGCCTTGACCTCTTCTTGCTGCATATTTGATCTGTGTGATGCTTGTCACCATGGTATCTGAGCACGTGGGGAAATATATTTAGACCTACTTCAATTAGAATGTGGAAAGAAAGTACTACCTGTGAGGATTATTATTATAATTATTTTTTAACACTTGAAAGTTCTTCTTTGACATTTAGTCTATATGAAAGTCTTTAGTCTGAGTTAAAAGCTTAGGTCTTAAAATTCTCCTTTGATAAGGATAGAAAGCTGGGTTTTGGTGTAAGATCCTAGTAAAATAGTTCTTTAGTTTTGAATCTAGACTGATAACTGTGATCCTTATGGTCAGGGGAAAAAAAAGGTTCGTTTACACATAAATCTTGTGTGTGTAATTTCAGAGTTCTGGATCCTCGTTCTTTATGTCCTCTCTCAAACTCATGTGAAAAATTCTTGTCTTAATTTTATGTTCCACTGCTTCCTAATTAATTCTATTCTTATAGAACATTTTAGAATCTAGTAAAATATTTTTTGTCATTCACACTGCATTCCTACTGCAAACTTCAGCAGTTTCTTCTTTGAACTACTTAAGGCCATAAACTATTTTGTTTACTATGTCTGTTTTCTGTATGTTACTATAGTACTTTGTGTCTCTATTCCATTTTACCACATTGTTTTTGCTATGTTTGCACATTGATTTAAACGCTTGCATCTAATTTTTTTTTTAAGATTTACTTT